CACGCACAAACGCATGCACGCCACGACAAGCCTGCGTGGCAGACCAACACAACGAGCACATTTCACACACTTAGTGGACAAAAGCGACGCTTCCCGTTCTTGTCCGGTCAGGTTTCTGAAAAATGGGCATTTTGTTCGAGACATCCTCAAATAGTCCGCCCCAGAGGGGACTCCGAATCGACATCGTCTTGAAATCGCTCCGGGAGGGCTTTTGAAAAGCCCCCAAGACGCTCTGGAGGGCCCCAAGGGCGCCCAAGAGCGCCCCAAGAGCGCCCAAGAAAGCCCAAAGACGGCCCAAGATGGCGCCGAGACGGCCCAAGAAAGCTCCCAAAGAACCCCACGACGCGCCCAGACAGCCCAAGAAGACCCCAGAAGCCCACAAAATGACCCAATAGGCCCCCAAGGAGCCCCTAACAGGCCCCATGACAACCCCACGCGGCGCCAGGAGCCCCCAGGGTAGCCCGATAGGGTCACCAGGACCCTCTCCTGATTAAACGTCCTTCTCCAATTGCCTCTTACTGTCCTCGTCCTCGTCCTCGTCGTCGTCGTCGTCGTCGTCGTCGTCGTCGTCGTCGTCGTCGTCGTCGTTACTGTCCTCCGCATTCCTCCTACTCGCCCTCGTTCTATTCGTCCTCGTTCTTGTGCTTCTCTTCCTCCTCGTTGTCCTCATGCTCCTCCTCGCTATCCTCACGTTCTCCACGTCGTCCTCGCCATCTCCTCCTAGTCGCCCTCGCCTTCCTTTTCTTCTTCTTCGCCCAATAAGCCCACTGGACTAAAGCTGATCTTCCCGTTCTTGTCCGATCAGGTTTTTGAGAATGGCCGTTTCGCTCGGGAAATCCTCAAACAATTGGCCCCAGAGGGGACCCCGAATCGACATCGTCTTAGAATCGCTCCCCGAGGGCTTTCGAACGGCCCGCACGCCCCAGAGGGCCCCAAGAGCGCCCAAGAGCGCCCCAAGAGGACCCCTAAGAATCCCCCAATAGCGCTCCAAGAGACCCAGACAGCTCACAAGAACCCAAAGACGTCCCAAGACGGGCCAAGAGGGCCCCAAGAGACTCCGGGGAGCGCCCCTAGAGACCCCCAAACGGCCCAAGAAAGCCCAAAGTCTGCCCAAGATGGCGCCGAGACGGTCCGAGAAAGCGCCCAGACAGCCCGAGAAGACCCCAGAAGCCCACAAAATGACCCAAGAGGCCCCCAAGAAGCCCGCAACAGGCCCCAAGCAACCCCCGCGCGGCGCCAGGAGCCCCCAGGGTAGCCCAATAGGGTCACCAGGACCCTCTCCTGATTAAACGTCCTTCTCCAATTGCCTCTTACTGTCCTCCGTCGTCGTCGTCGTCGTCGTCGTCGTCGTCGTCGTCGTCGTCGTCGTCGTCGTCGTCGTCGTCGTCGTCGTCGTCACTGTCCTCCGCATTCTTCCTACTCGCCCTCGTTCTCTTCGTCCTCGTTCTTGTGCTTCTCTTCCTCCTCGTTGTCCTCATGCCCCTCCTCGCTATCCTCACTTTCTCGACGTCGTCCTCGTCATCGCCTCCTCGTCGCCCTCGCCTTCATTTTCTTCTTCTTCGCCCAGTAAGCCCATCGGTCTAAAGCCGAGCTTCCCGTTCTTGTCCGGTCAGGTTCTCTTTGAGGGGAGGGGATGGGTGGGGGAGGGTAGGAGGACGGAGATTGGTGGTGGGAGGCGAGGGGGGAGATGAGCGAGGGGACGTGGATGGGGCAGGGGGTAGAGAGGAGGAGGGGGGGGGGAACGTGACAGTCGGAGGCTAAAGCATCCCCCCTCGAATCGCGCGTTCGCTGTCACTGGGAAATGCCCCTCGGCTGCCACGGCCGGATTTGGCTCAAGAGGGGGGGGTGCGTCGGGGTGCAGCCTCGCGGCCCCAGGTGCTTGCCCGGGCGCTGGGCCGGAGATCCCTGGAGATCCCCGGAGGCCTCCCATGTGCCAGAGCGCAGAAAACCCTCAGGGGATCCTCGATCCCTGTGGATCCCTGGAGATCCCTGGAGAGTGATCCCGGGGATCCTCTACCTCGAGGGCACGTGCCAGAGCGCATAAAACCCTGGACTGCTCCTTCCCTCGAGCTCATTCATCACCGGGAAGGGCCAGCTATCGAGGGATGGGCCAGCGATAGGATGCCAGTCCGCCTCCCCTTGCCCCCCTGGTCCTCGCCTGCCTCCCCCCTCTCTCTCCCCCTCTCTCCCCCTCCTCCTCCTCCTCCTCCTCCTCCTCCTCCTCCTCCTCCTCCTCCTCCTCCTCCTCCTCCTCCTCCTCCTCCTCCTCCTCCTCCTCCTCCCCCTCCCCACCCTCCTCCTCCTCCTCCTCCTCCTCCTCCTCCTCCTCCTGCTACAACCTCCTCCTCCTCCTCCTCCTCCTCCTCCTTCTCCTCGTCAAGACCTCCTGCTTTACACCAGGGGCCTCTTCCAGCACCCAGGTGACTCTCTTTTCCGCGGGCCTTGACGGATGGAGGCGTCGTGTCTCGGAGCCACGCTCCTGGGGGGCTGGTCGCTCCCGAAGGGGACGATGTTGATAGGACTGCGCCTTCGGGCCAGATCTCTGTCCACGGGTCCTGCCATCGCCACCCGCTCCGGGAGCTTTCCGGGACCATCTTCCGGGCCGCGGCCGTGGGGGCCCGTGGGGCCGAGCCCCCGGTCTCCGCTCGACGGGCCTCCGTGGGCCCCCCCGGCCCCAGACGCCTCGGGGAGGCGAGCACAGCACTCTCGCGGCTGTGCCGCGCACGCTCCGCAGGCCCTCCTCGGAAATTGCAGCACATACATCGCCAGTGGTGGGCGGTTTTTCAATCCCAGGACCTTTTTGAGGGTCGGGGACGACGTCGGGGTGGTGTGGTGTATACTTTTTTCCCCGTCTTCTGGGGGAAACAACGAAGACTGGATACACCAGGATTCCGTATACACCGGGATCCGCTTTCTTGTGCGAGACTCAGTGTGAGGCCAGACAAAGGCGTCGGTGTATAGAGTTCGGTTCTATACCTCCACGATCTGCTCTGCCTGTCAGTCGGTGGTGGACCACGGGCATCCGGCGGTGCCGCTGGCCCTCTCGCACCAGAGGGTTCGCTCGGGCGTTCTGCCCCAGGCCAGAGGCGGGGGCGTCGGGCGCGTTGGAGGAGCGGTCGAGGGCAAGGCTCAGCCGGAGCTCGACGACACCCTGCCCGCAGATGCATCTGTTCCAGCGGGCTGGGAATGACCCTGCTGACATGGTCTGGGCCGCGAGCTATGCCCTGGGCCGTCCACGGACGAAGCGGAGCTTCTGACGAGGAGTATCGACATTGCGCGTGTGGTGGCGCAGTTCGCCGCGAAGCTTCTCCCCGCCTGGCCGCGTCCTGGTCCGTCGGATGTGTCTCGGGTGAGGCCGCAGTCTGCTGCAGCTCTGCGTGAGCGTGCCTGCCACAACTGAGTCAGGATCCGTGACGTGTGGCAGTGCTCGATTTGACTCAGGGGGTCGCGTCTGCCCGTCCCCCCCGTGTTCCAGGCGTCCTGGGCCGTCGGGCCTTTGGGCGCTCAGCTCGGGGGCCCTTGCGTCTCTGGGGCACAGTGTCGCTGCGTTCGACTGCTCGGACGGCCCTTTTGTGGCCGTGTGCACCCGTTGCAAACTGTATTCTACGCGGGCCCAGGTACGAGGTTGGAAAGAGAGATGCCCGCCCCTGCCTGCTGTGCTCACAGGCTACAGCATGCGGGGCCGAAGGTGTAGCTGGACCAGAAACGCTGGAAGTAGGCACCCGAGACTTGAAGATGTCACCTTGCAGTTTGTTGACCTTTCGGCCGGGGGCTTAGACGAACCTCCTTCACCTCCTCCTGCTGGGCCTCCTCCCTCTCAGGCAGAAGAAAGCCCTGGCCAGGTCCTTCGCAGAGTCGCCTCCGAGCTCCGTGATCACGGGAACTCCGCGGGGCCCGCAGCTTCGCCTTCCGAAGGACAGGCGAGCAGGCGGCGCGCCGTTTCAGAGTCGTCTGGCTGATTCTTTCTGTCTTTGCGCGCCGCGTGGGTCTCACGCGTCGCGTGCTGGTTTGACCAGCCAGCTGCAACGAGAGCTGGCTCAGTCGCTCCCGTGCAGCGGCCGCCACGCTCTGGCTTCAGGCTGGGTGTGAGGCGCAGTCTCGGGCTCGGTTGGTCCTCCCTCCCCGCCGCTTCGCTTGGGTTTTCACCCTCGCATGAGGGCTGACCGTGCCGATCTCGGGCGATGGGTGGCCGCCTCGGATCGAGCTTGTGATGAGTCTTCGTTGGCAGCGTGTTTCCCACGCCGCGTAATTCAAGCTTCGCGCGGCCCGCTTAGCTTCGACCGGAAGAGGTGCGCTCTCGACCCGCGAATCAAAAAAGCGTGTTTCCCACGCCGCGCGGTGGGCTCATGGAGGGCGGCATGCCATCCCGTGCTGTGGGCCGCTCGAGGGCGCACGGGTGCCCCGTGCGCACCCTCTGTTCGGCCACACCTTTTCGGCGGCTGCACCCCTTCTCAGTGGGGGTGCGGCCGTGTGTTCGCTGGTTGATGTTGCAACGCAAATCCTCATCACCCTTCTCCTCATTACTCCCTCCTCCCACCTCGTACCTCCTCCCACCTACCCCTCCTTCTACTGCTCTTGCTCCTACTCCTCCCCCGCCTCCTCTTCCTCCTCCTCCTTTTCCCCGTCCCGTCGCTTTGGGCGGCTGGGGCAGAATGCCGCAGTTTCTCTGGCTTCGACGAGCGGGCCATCCATCCATCCGTCCATCCATCGTCGCCATCGTCGTCGTCGTTGTCGTCGTCCTCCTCCTCCTCTTCCTCCTCTTCTTTCTCTTCCTCTTCCTCCTTCTCCTCCTCCTCCTCCTCTCCTCCTCTTCCTCCTCCTCCTCCTCCTCCTCTTCCTCCTCCTCCTCCTTCCCCTCCCCCTCCGCCCCGTCCTCCCTTTACGCCCCCTCCTCCCCCTCCTCCTCCTCGCTTCGCCCCTCCGCATCCGCCCAGTAGGTCGCCGTAGGATCTTCGTGGCCGCTGGTCCTTCCTCTGGACCCCCCGCAGGAGCCGACGCCGATGCACTGCCGCGCCAGCGCCGCTGCGGCCGCAGACAGCCCCTCGGAGGCGAGGCGGCAGCCAGGACCCCTGGCCACCCCGCGCCGCCTGCGGAATGGGCGGGTCGAGAGGGCTGCTCGCCAGGAGGCAGGCTCCAAAAGAAGGACCTATGCACACGTACATGCGCACTGCGCGAACGCTCGCATCACGAGGTCGGTCTCGCGGACGGGGGGGGCCTTATTCATGTACGTGGTTGGCAGAGTACGTCTTTTCCGGACTTCCTCGCCAGGAAGCAAGCGGGTCCTGAGTTCAGTTGCCTCGATACGCCCGTTTTGAAACGCAACACGTCCCGTATTCAAGACGTCCGTGTCGATACGTTGCGTGTTGGCTCCACCTATTGGACCACGTTTTGGCGAAAGTATCGCATCGGACCTACGTTTTCAGTCCACGTATTGAGCTCCGTATCAACACGCTACGTGTTGCGTGTTGCGTATCGGGGCAGCTAAGGTCCTGAGAGAGGCGGGCCCCGGTGGTCTTTCGCCGTTTTTCATCGAGCAGCGGCCCATAGGAGGGGGAGCTGGTCCCAGGGACGGCCCGTGTGTCCAGGGCCCGCTTCCCTCAGGACCCGCTCGCTTCATGATGGCTCTTAGCGAGGGCTCGTGTATACACATGCCTACATATATACACATTCATACATACATGCATACGTACGTGCATGCATGCATGCATGCATGCAGCTATGCATTTTATGTCTGTCTGTCTGTATGTACGTGCGTAAGTACGTATGTATGTAAGTATGCACGCATGTACGTGTGTTTGTATTCATGCATGCATGCATGCATGCTTGCATGTATGTATGTATGTGTGTTTGGTTGCATGTGTGCTTACCTGTACATATTCGTACGTGTATGTCTGCCTGCCTGTATGAACGTACGTATACAATTTTGTATTGTTTCGGTGCATCAATGTATGGACATTTATATGTATCATATGTATATGTATATGTGTATGCATATGTATATGTATATGTAAATGTAGGACTCTACGTATGTGTATGTATGTCTGTATATGTACACGTATATGTATATATTTCTGCATATAAGTGTGTATATGTATATGTAGGTGTGTACATGTTTACTCTATGTATGAGCTCATGTATCCGTATACGTTCACGTATATGTATATGCATGCGCATACGTATGCGTTCATGTAGACTTATACCTTTATGTTTTTGCATGTGCATATGTACAGGTATATGAGTAGGTGCATATGTAATAGTTTGTATATGCGTAGTTATAGGTGTATACGTAGGTACATGCGCATGAAGTTGTACATGTACATGGATATCTATCTTACTATGTTTATGAACATGTACATGTATATGTACATGTATATCTATATTTACATGTTCATGTATATGTATATGTATGTGTACATGTTTATGTATAGGTACATGTGTACGTACACGTACATTCATTTGCATGTGTACGTGTATATGTCCAGGCACATATATATGTGCATATATATATACACATATAGTTGTAATGCACGTTTATATATGTACGTGTGTATACATATGTCTGTATATGTATATATGTATGTAGATGTACCTATGTGTATATGTTAATGCATGTGCATATGCATGTTTATGTTTACATGTGTACGTACCTGTACACTTACATGTAAACGTATATGGTTACACATACGTATACGCAAATGTATGTGTGAGGTGTATATATATTTTCATATGTGTTTACGTTCATGCATATATATATATGCATATAGACATTCATACTCATACGTATAATTATATTCATATACTAACACACATATATACATAATGTATAGGTGTATGTGTAGGTGTATGTATATGTATATGTATGTGTATATGTGTATATGTATACTAACATATTTGTATATACACATATTTACATACAAATATATATATATGTATACATGGGTATGTGTATGTGTATGTGTAGAAACATAGATGTGTAGCTATGCTGTATGTATACACGCGCACATCTGTAATTGCCTTCTGGCCCATCCCGCCACCGTGCGTGGATTGTGGGTCTGAGGCCTCTTGGATGTTCGTTGGGATCCCGTCGAGGCCTCGCGGGGACCTCCTGGAGGCAGTTTTGAGGCTTCTGGGGGTCTGTTTGATGCCTCCTGGGGCCCGTTTTGGGCTTCTTGGGGTCTAGTGGTGGCGTCTTGGGGACCTCTTGGGGCCTCTTTGGGGCCTCTTGGGGCCTCCTGTGTGGCTCTTGGGGCGGGAGGCTCGGACTTGCTTGGGCCCCTCTTGGGGCCGTCTTGGGGCCCTCTTGGGCCCTCTTGGGCTCCTTTTTGGCAGTCTTGGGGCTTATTGGTCCGTCTTGGGGAACTTTCGAGTGCCTCTTGGCCGTCTTGGAGCGGTCTCGGGGGCCTCTTGGGACGTCTCGGATCGTCGGAGGCTCGAAACATGGAGAATACACAAAACATTTAGAAACCTCAGGACAATCTGTGATTTTGGCCGATCTGAGCCCTTCTGGGAAGTCTCTTGGGGCTTTCTCTGGGCGTCTTGAAGGCGCCTTCGACAGTTTTGAGATCATCTTGGACCGTCTTGGGGGCCTTGTGAGGCCCTTTTGGTCCGTCTTGGGGCCCTCTTGGGCCAGAGAAGTCATGCGAGAAGACGCCCTGGACCCCAGGGGCCACGCGACGCACCCCAGTCGATCTAGCATTTTTTTTCTGGGCCCCTGGAGAATCCTCAGGGTTGACGACTGAGGCTCCAGGGGATCCGACACAGGACCTGAGGACACTCCAACTCGTTGCTCAAAGGCACGGTGGTGGATACATACATAGACAGACAGACAGACAGACAGACAGGCAGGCAGGCAGGCAGGCAGGCAGACAGACAGACAGACAGACAGACAGACACACATACATCCATACATCCATGCATATATATATATATACACACACAACACATTAAACTTACATACACACATACACACATACACGCACACACAACCATCCATCCATCCATCCATGCACACACACATACACATATACATACACACCATGCATACATAAACACATGCGTCCATACATCCATCCATCCAAACATACATACTCATACGTACATATACATACGCATGCACATATGCATATACATGCATTCATTTTCACACACACACATATATATATATATGCGTGTGCGTATACATATCCATCTAATTTACATATAACTCTACAGTTACATACACATGTATATGCGTATACTCGTATACACAAATGTATATCTGCATATACACACGCATGCCGATACGATCTATGTATATATACATTTATACAGACATATACGTACACACACATATATATATATATATATATATATATATATATATAGATATAACATATCTCGGAGTAGGCCGTGGGAGGGCCCAGAACTGCTACCTCTGGTTCGCATGGGGGGCCAGGGTGGTCTTGAGGGCTCCAAGAGGGTTCAGAAGGGGCCCCAGACCCGCCCAGAGGCTCCCAAGCTGGCCCAAGAGGCGCCCCAAGCGACACAGGTTGTCTGGAAGGTGGGTGAAGAGCGCACTGAGACTGCTTCTGGACGGGCCACGAGCGCTCGAAGACAGCCCAAGACTGCTCCTAGACGGCCACAAAGGCACTCAAGACGGTCCAAGAGGCCGCCGAGAAAGCCATCCAAGGGCAAACATCAAGCTTTTCCGATGGAAAAACGTATATTTCCAGGATGTTTCCTTTTCAGTCCTACCAGCGGCCGCGACGGCCCCAGAGGCTCCCAAAATTAGCCCAGACGGCCCAAGAGCCACCAAGAGGGCCCCCAGACGGCCTGAAGAGCTTCAAGCAGCACAAGAGAGCTCCAACACAGCCCAAGAGAGTACCTAGGAACCCCGAGGGGGCCACCGGAGGATCCCGACATGGTCGGAGAGGGCCCCCCGAGGGCCCCAAATCGGGCTCAGGTCTCCATGACGGGGACCCGGAACGGCCGAACTGGGCTCCCAGAGGGTTCAAAAAAGGCCTGCCAGGACTCCCTGAAGACGGTCCAGGAGGCCGCTGAGAAGGCTCCCGGGTGCAAAAAACTACACTTTCCCATAGAGAAACGTACATTTCTATGATATTCGCTTCTTATGGTCCATCGGCGGCCACGTCGGCTCCAAAGGCTGCCCAAATCGGCGCTACACGGTCCACGAGGCCCCCGAGGGGGCTTCAAGACAGCCTCAAGAGAGCGTCGAGCAGCACAAGAGAGCTCCAAAACAGCCCGAGAGAGTCCCCAGGGGGCCCGAGGGTGCCACCGGAGGATCCCTACATGGTCGGAGAGTGCTCCATGAGGGCCCCAAGACGGCTCAGCTACCCATGTCATGCCAAGAGGGGCTTGGGACAGCCGAAATAGGCTCACAGACGGGCCACAACCGGCCCAAAATGGCAAACATCAAGGATTTTCCATGGAAAACCGTATATTTTTGGGAGCTTCGCTATGCAGTTCTACCAGCGGTCGCGACGGCCCAAGAAGTTACCCAAATGGGCCCCAGACGGCCCCAGAGGCCCCAAAGAGGGTTTCAAGATGGGCTGAAGAGAGCTTCAAGCGGCACAGAAGAGCCTACATGGTCGGAGAGGGCCCAAGGAGGGCCCCAAGACTGGCTGAGCTACCCATGGCGAGCCTAGAGGGACCCGGAACGGCCGAAATGGGCCCTCAGACGGGCCAACAAAGGCCCCAAAGGACTCCAAAGGAAGGCCCAGAGACTTGGCACAATGCTTCCAGAGGCTCCAGAGACTTGGCACAATGCTTCCAAAAAGGCTCCCGACCCTCGTTCCAGTAGGCACCCGTGTACTGGGTGCTTTGAGAAAAGAGAGGAGGAGGAGGACAAGGAGGAGGAGGAGGAGGGAGGAGGAGGAGGAGGAGGAGGAGGAGGAGGAGGAGGAGGAGGAGGAGGAGGAGCAGGAGCAGGAGCAGGAGGAGGAGGAGGAGAAGGAGGAGGAGTAGGAGGAAGGGGAGGAATATCAGGAGGACGAGGGGGGGGAAAGAGGAAGACGAAGAGGAGCAGGGACATTCTTCTTGTAAGATTCTCTGATTCTCTCGCTCGG